CTGCCCCCTGGTGGTCAGTGCACGTCATAGCGACTGGTCGACCGGTCGACTGTCTGCCCCCTGGTGGTCAGTGCACGTCATAGCGACTGGCCGACCGGTCGACTGTCTGCCCCCTGGTGGTCAGTGCACGTCATAGCGATTGGTTGACTGTCTGCCCCCTGGTGGTCAGTGCACGTCATAGCAAGCAATTGAGCGGCCTTAGCATATCATTAGCATATTACGCTTTGATTGGTCGAATCCCTGACGGGACACTCAGCATATTAGGCTTTTATTACATAGGCGTGTGCGTGTGTGTGTGAAAAAAGACATATGTGCTTGATGGCCACGTATCAGACGTGACAAGAAAACCTTAGTCATAGGAGACATGTTATTGGGGATCACAGCGAAACTTCACCGATTTCTTCCTGGGGGTCGCGGTGGATGGGGGCGTTCATACCCTGTGGTATCCGCTCTCCTGTTCATGGCTGCGTACTATTCCACGGCATGGACGACAAACGTGTTAGTGGAGATGTGGACACGTCGGAGCCCTGGCGCCCTGCTGGTGGGGATGTCCAACGGGACAGCCACCGTGAGAAATAACCTAGAAGAGTTCTTTAAAAAAATAATGGCGACTTAGAGTGACCCCATGTTATAGCAATTTTACGCCAAGGTGTGTATATATATATATATAGTAGAGGGTGTCCCAAAATTCATGCAAGATTTGAATTCGGCGTGAGCATTAACAACAATAGCAACAAAAAAATAAAAGCCTAATTTGACTCGGTTTATTGAATCAGATTCTAATATCTGTTGCCCTTTCATGTCAATCCCTTCGATTCGATCAGCATCACCAAGGACCCATGACGGCCCAGGAGCAGGGACCAGGAAGACCAATGGAGACCGCGGCTTTGCGTCTGTGCCAGCAGAGCCGGGGGGGCCATGGACCCGATGGGCTATTCCGTCCATAAACCCTAGACTATCTGCTTTATGAATCTGTAAAAAATTACAATTTTTCTTGATAAATGCGTGTTTTCTATCAAAATTACTTCTTGCGTGAATTTTGGGACGCCGTTTATCTACATACACTATATACATATCCCATGTTCAATGGCTGTTCAATTTCAACAAAAGATTGTGTATGTCCCAGCAAAGCCAGGGAGGCCATGGATCTGATAGGCTTATGCCATCCATAATCCTAGACTGTGTCCTTTATGAATCAGTAAAAAATTCACAGTTTTTAATGATAAACCTGTGTTTTATGCCAAAATTACTTCTTGCGTGAGTTTTGGGACACCCTTTATATATACACTATATACATATCCCATGTTCAAAGGCTGTTAAATTTCAATAAAAGAGTGTGTATGTGCCAGCAAAGCCGGGGAGGCTATTAACCCAATGGGCTATTGAATACATAACCCTTGACTATGTCCTTTGTGAATCAATAAAAAAAATTACAATTTTTCTTGATAAGTGCATGTTTTCTATCAAAATTACTTCTTGCGTGAATTTTGGGACATTCTTTATATATACACTATATACACATCCCATGTTCAAAGGCTGTTCAATTTCAACAAAAGATTGTGTATGTACCAGCAAAGCCGGGGAGGCCATGGACCTGAT